GTAATATGACGGGCAGCCGGCTCCGAGTCAATCACTGGATGAAGCCGAGCCTCTGTTGAGCGACTGCAGGGCGGCCCTGAGGCGGCCCCAATTTTGGAGGTCAGCCCTCCAGTGTTGCAGGCGGCGTGGGCGCCTGGGGCCCGACGAGGATTGTGCAAACCCACTGGATGTCGTTCTTGGCATGAATGCCCATGGCCAGGACAGCGGCGCACCTGGGATGCACGACTCGCCCGCAACCTCATAAGGCAGTCCGTCTGGGTGGTCCCCAAAGTCCCTCTCGCTGATGCTCAGCCCCGCGGTTGCGCGGTAGGCGGCAGATCCCTCCGCCTTGAACGTCACCGCAACCTCCTGGCGCCCGCCCGGCTGAACCACCGCCTCTGCAGGGTCAAACACGAATTGACCGAGCCGCAGCTGGTTGGACCCTGCCAGCGCCGCCGCCGCCGCGGCCTCCGCGGCCGCCTTTGCGAGCGCAGCCTTCTTCGCGGCCGCGGCCGCGGCCGCGGCGGCCTTCGGGCCCTTGGGGGCGGCGGCGGCGGCCGCCGCGGCCGCCGCGGCGGAGCCGTCGTCGGGGGGCGGCTTGGGGGCCTCGCCCAGCTGCGACAGCCTGAGGGTGAATGGGAACTCCCCGAGGTTGCAGACCTCGAAGCTCCAAGGTTTTGAGGTGGTGCCGTAGGTGTTCGGGCCAAAGTGCAGGCCGCGCGCGGGGGTGACGCTGTACTTGCTGAACTGGGCGCGCGCGGACAGGCGGACGGGCAGCGTCTGCTCGGCGCGGCCGGTGGCGGGCTCTATCAGGGAGAGGGTGACATCGGTGTTGCCGTCGAGCGTCACCTCGCGGCGCAAGGCGCGGTCCTTGTTCCAGTGGAGCTTTCAGGGGGGTGGGATGGTAGGAATGAGGGAGGTTCCAGAGGTCTCGTGAGGCAGGGTTGGACAGCGTTCGCGATCCCAGATCTGAAAGTGGGGCTGGTGCTGATGTGTTGATCTGAGCAGAGCGCTCGGCAAGTGCCGCACATGGGACCGCTGCTGAGCATTGGTGCAGGCCTAGGCACTACAAGCGGGGCGCGCAGCAAGACTCGCTCATGTCGGCATTTCCTTCCAATTGCTGGCTCCATACAAGCAAATGGACGCTGGTGTCGGCGCTCACCACCACGGCCGCCTCCTTGCCCGGCTGGATGGTGCCGTCCATCGGCGCTATGGTCACCAGATCCGCCACCGCCTGGCTGCCGACCGCGAACCTGAACGCCGCGTCGTACTTGCCGCCGTTGCGCAACAGCAGCGAGCGCGGCGCGTCGTCCACCACGCGCATGGGGCCGAACTGGACGCCCTGGATGCCCTCCTGCGTGGGTGTGGCATTGGCAGGCGGCGATAGGGAGTGGAGGGGTGGCAGAAATGAGGGGGTCCACGGAACTTTCAGAGTGGTGTGAACATCACAGCTGCAGTTGATTTGAAGGTAATGCGGTCGACAATGCGCCTCGCTTGCATTGCGCCAGAAAATTCTGCGTTGCTTTCGAGTTGCTGAGCCTCAAAGCCTCAAGGGGCGCAGCTGCGCCCAGCTCAGGCTGGCAGCTTTCCTTGGTGAGCCGCCGACAGCTGTGTTCCAAGCGTCAAGCATCCACTGGCGCGCCCGGGCCCGACCCACGCACCTGGGGGTATTTGACCGCGACCTCGATCTTGTAGGACTCTCCCTTCACTGCTATGGGGATGGACTGCACCACACCTAGCGCCTCCTGCAGGTCCATGACCTGGCGCCGGCGGTTGGGCGGTTGGAACGGTGGTGGAACTGACACGTGAGAGGTTGGCAGGTGGTATCTTGAGAAGAGGAGGGTGCATCAAAGCCTGTGAAATGATGGGAGTTCATCACACACTCAAGATGCAGGACGCGCCCTCATCTCCTTGAGCTCCTTGACCACACACCAACAAGTACCCCTGGGCTCCACAACCCCTGCATCCCTGAGCAGACCAAACGCGCATTGCTCCATCCCTGCCGTCCCCGAACTCAGTCAAAACCTGGCCTCCAACCAGCCAGTCCTTCAGCTCCAAACTCTTGTTCTAGCGTGAGGCAACATTACATGATGTATAAACAAACTCAGAGGCTCCCCCCTCCCCACCCACCTCAAGTCTGACCAGCTCGGCCAGCTCCCTCTTGTCGAGCGCCGAAAAGTCAACAGTCACCGTCACACTGCTGCGCGCCGCCAGCTCACCAGCCGCCGGCCAGACCTGCGGGCCATGAGGGGTGCCGCCACAGCCGGTGAGCAGGGAAAGTCGAGCCCCTGCACTAAAACTCGTGGATGATTTTTTTGGCTTGTGGCGTGGCTTGGCTCTTTTCAAGTTTTAACTGAATCTTGAGGAGAGAAGAGCCTGCATGATGCAACATCCAGTCGCCTCACAGAGACTTCGCACCTTCAACTCCTGCGGCAGCGCCTCGCTGCCCGCCACGCGCCATTTGAACGGCACCACCCCCAGGTTTGACAGCGTCAAGCTCTTGGAGTCCCTCTTGCCCACAAGCAGCCGCTCAAACTGAATCAAATGCTCAGCTCCCGCCAGCAGCTGCGACTCTCTCGCGCCGCCCTTGCCGCCGACGCCGCCGGCCCGCCGCCGGCCAGCGCCGCCGGCGCCGCCGTCAGTAGACAGCCGGCCGGCGGAGGGGCCGCCGGCGAGGGGCGCTGGCGGGGGGTCGTTGAGGGTGATCTGGGCGGTGGGGCGCGCCCCGACGTAGCTGATGGGGAACTCAAGGGGCACGGGGTTGTTGCGCAACCTATGGTGGTTGGTTTTGTTGTTGATGGTGCGTCAGAGGCGCTGAGGTTTGAATACTGTGAGAAGAAAATGCGTTGATAGCACGGGCATTGCACCAGAAAGCGTGCTTGATCAGCGCTGTTGTCATCCAAGCGCCTGCTCTGGCCAAGGCCCCGGCCAAGGCCGCCACGCCCCTCCGCACCTGCACATGATGACATCCTGTGCCGGCCCCTCAGCCTGGGGGTACACAGTGACCCGCAGCTCCCGCACCTCCCCCACCGCCAGCCCCATCGACCGCGGCCAAAGCGCCACCGCCGGCGCCGGCGCCGCGACGCCCCGCATGCTTCCACGGTGGTTGGTGCCCGCAGGGACGGGCACGCCCGCGGCGGCGGCGGGCGCGGCGCCGCCGGCGCTGGCCGGGGGGGCCTTTTTCGAGGCCTTGCCCGGGTCGACCTGGGCGGCGGCCGGGTCGGCAGCATCCCCCTCACTCTTCAGCCAAAAGTCGGCGTGCAGCTCAAACAGGCCGCAGTTTGCGATTTTGAACCTGGCCGTATGCTCTGGGTGCCCCTCTGGTGGCGCCGCCCCGGCGCTCGCCAGGCCGGCCGCCGCGGAAGCAGCCGGGGCCGCGCCTGCGCCTGTGGCCGCGCCCGCGGCCGTGCCGCCGGCGGGCGGCGTGGCGGGCGGGGCCGGCTGATTGAGCGGTGGGCGGCCGGCGAGGAGCGGACCGAACTCGAAGGTGGCTGTTGGGAGGACGAAGACCTGCTTGATGGACGGCGTCTGGGGGCGCGTCTTGGATGTCTTCGGGTAGACAGACCTGGGTCGGGTGCAGCAGGCGGAGGTGGGTGTGAGACGCGCAATGGGCTGGCGTGGATCCATGGGGCAGCAGGCACGTGTGGACGTGAGGGTTGATTGGCGGCGCGGGCGCGGCAGCGGTAGCAGCAGCTCCGTGGTTTGTCCCTGCCCACTGCGGCCTGCAGGCACCCTTGCTCCTAGTGCCGCTCAGCTGCCCCCAATCGGCCTCTCAGGAGGCCTGTTTAGCAGCCCCCCAAACCACCACACAAGCGCACTGCTTCCGCGCTCGTGACTACGAGTGCCAACAGCTTCAAATGCAGGAGGACACAGGTGGCTGCTGCATTTAGACCTGTTCTGCAATGCGGCTGAGCGGCGCTCACTTGGGGTCCGTGTTGATGCGCGGGTAGTCGCACGCCCCAGACAGCACCACCGTGCTGTGGCGGTCGCCGCCCACGGCCTCGAAGCCCAGCAGCTCGCTGAAGCGGCCGGCAGAGTCGGAGGCGAACTGGGCCACAAGCTGCACGCTGCCCTTGGGCGGCAGCACCCAGCGCGTCAGCGGCAGCAGGTTGCGCCTGGTGCGGGGGATTGGAAATTGATTTGAGCAGCTGCTGGGGTTCAGAAAGCATGCAGGTGCTTGAGAGAGGCGAGGCGCGGAGCGGTCGATGAGGTAGGGCTGTGCCAGGATGCCATGCAGTGTCTTTGCAAGTGCTGCAGACAAGTGTCTGCTATGATGCTCTGCTGCACCTAGCATTCCTGGGTGCTCCCCAGCGTGCCCCGCTAGACTCGACTCGCCGAACCCCGCGCACCTGTCCTCCTCAGGGGGCTGCGGCTCAGCCTGGTCCTCCGCCTTCTTCCCCTTCCTCGGGGTCGCCCCGCCGCCGGCCGCAGCCCTCCTGGCCGACACCGCTGCTGCACCCGCCGCCGGCGGCGGCGACGGGGCCTGCTCCGGCGGCCCCGGCAGCTGCGGCGCTGCCGCCGCCGCAGCCGCCGCATCCCCATCGGCGGCAGCGGCGGCAGCTGCGTCCATGCACGGTGCGTGGGCCGCGGCGGCGGCGTCCGCGCCTGGCAGTGTCCAGACCTTAAAGTTTGAGGCCGCGGCCCTCGCCGCGCGCGCCTTGGGCCGCTGCAGCACGCGGAGCTCGTAGGGCGGCGGCACCAGCAGCGCGTCCTCAGGGACCGAGGGCAGCAGTGTGGTAACCTTGGACAGGTTGAACGACGCACCGATCACAGCCCGCGACACGTCGCCCTCGCCTGCCCCCGCCGCAACTGCACGGTGGACCACCAGGCTGTCCGCCGGCTGCATCGGGCCCAGAACCGGGGAGAGCGCCGCCGCATCGGCCTCAAATGCGTGCCACATAGCGTCAAATGCTGCCGGGCTATCCGCGGTCTTCAGCTGCTGCTGCTGCGGCTGAGGCTGCGCACCCGACTGGGGTCGGGACGCAGCAACACCTACTGGGCCGGCTTCCGAAGTGCTGGCGCCGCTCTCGGGACGCTGCTGCTGCTGCTGCTGCTGCTGCTGCTGCTGCTGCTGCTGCTGCTGCTGCTGCTGCTGCGGATGGAATGCCAGCGACGCTTCAGCGACCAGCCCTGCATCCCCCGTGTCCACGCCCCAAGCCTCTAGGCCCTCGGCCGCCGCGCGCGCTGCCGCTGCCAGGCGGTCTGCCGCCACCTCACGGGGAATGTCCAGCTGCACTGTGTAGACCCTCTGCGCCCCCACCCACTCGTCGGCCTTTGTGCCCTCTGCCTCCTCGCCCTTCCCAGCGCCGCCCGCCGGGCCTTTGCGGGTGCCCCCCGCGCCCGCGCCGGCGCCGGCAGGGGCCGCCGCGGCGGCCGCGGGCGGCGCCTTGCCGCCCTTGGTGCCCGTGAGCGGCAGGGCCGGGACTGGCGGGGGCGCTTTGGGGGACAGGCCCACAGCTTGCAGCAGGCAGCGGGCAGCGGCTGCTGCACCCAAAACCTTGGACCTCAAACCGTCCACGATGAAGCCTTTGTCATACTGCTGCTGACTCAGCGCCTGCCGCAGCGCCCGCAGTGCAATGTCTGCGGCCGCGGCAGCTGTCTGTGCAGCCGCCGCCGCAGCAGCAGCCGCTGCGGCGGCAGCCTGAGCCGCCGCAGCAGCTGAGCCGCCGGCTGACCGCACACGCGGTGAGGGTGAGACCTGCGCGGCCACTGGCGGCAACGGCAGGCGCTCCTGACCAAAGGCGGTGGGCGCGCTGCCGTCCGTACTTGGACGTAGCTGCGGCAGAACGCTGCCAGGGCGACTGGCGGCAGGCGGCTGCAGCAGTCGAGACATGATTAGCTCCCGCAGTGCAGGATCGAAAAGTGGCTGCTGCTCTTGATCGTGATCCTGCCGCTGCTGTTGCTGCTGCACAGGCTGGGGGGCAAGGGCGTCCGCCAAGGCATCGGCACCACTGGCGTCGGGCAGTGCAGCCGGCGCCTGCATGTCGGCCGCCTCCTGCGCAGTCGCACGGGTGTGTTGTAGTTCTTCATGTCATCCAGTGTATTGCTGAACACATAGGGGTGGTCAGAAGCACCGCAAACACCCGCGCGCGCACACACACACACACACACACACACACACACACACACACGCACGTACGCACGCACACATGCACCACCCCTACACACCTGTATGAGGCCATCAAGGGTGACGACGGGGACGCCGTAGCGCCGCCCCAGCATCTGAGCCTGCGTGGAGACACCTGCCATGGGCGGGCCGTACACCGCAATAACTACCCTCCCCGGACGTCGCTCCTCGCCCGTGTTTGCTACCCCCGCTGGTGAGGCCACGGAGCCGGCCTCAATGGCAGCCGTGGAGCCGGGGGTGGATCCAGCGGGTTGCAATGTGGCAGGGGGAGCTGCAGAAGCGGACGCAGCATCCTGTCCCTGCGACAAGCCAAAGATCGGGGAAAATCATGACTGCCACAATGCGTCAAGCATGCGTCAAGGTTGATGATAAATGATTAATGCGATGTTACTCCTGCACATAGGCGCCGCCCAGCCATCCCGCCTGACGTCCCGTCTGTGCTGCATCCTGGCGTTGTATGTGCCCACCTGTGGCTGCCCTTTGGCCTCCGCCGCGCTTTGTAAGAGCTCCGGCCAGAGCGGCTCGCCGGGTCCAATGGGGCGCAGCAGCGCCACACCCTTGTCATCATAACTGTGGGTTTGGGGAGCGATACAAAGCCGGGTTTGTCTTGGCTCAAATCCAGGGAGCTGGTGTTGGCGCACATGCATATTCCATCACCAAGCAGGAAACATTTGAAGTGTTGGATCCGAACTCCTTCTTCCTGCTCACATATCTAGGGCCCTGAGTGCCTCTTCGTCTTCCCGATGCCGCTGATCAAGCTCCAGGCACACAACCTCCACCACTCGGTCAGTCGGGTTGGTAATGGTCAGGGAACCCTCGGCTGGCCGCTGGCCGGGGAACGCGGGCAAGATGGGGCCACAGTCCACCAGGCCTGCAAGGGAGGGGCATTTCAAAGCGTGGTTGGCGCTGTGGGGTGCGGCATGAACAGGCAAAGTTGTTGCAGGGTAGTTTGGGTGTGTATTCAGAGCCCACGCCGTCCAGCTGGAGGTGTCTTAACCCCTCCTAGGAAACCCCGACAGCGCGACGATGTCCGAGTGCAGTTGCCCAGGGCTGCATGCAGTCAGCCGCCCGCGCCGCCGACCGACCTTGCGACACCTCGATCCTGGGGGTAAAGCCACGGCCGCTGCAGGCCAGGTCGCACGTCTTTGGGTTATTGGCAATCTTGATGGGTAGCGACAGCACGTACGGCTGGTCGCGCCCCGCCTGCAGCAAAGTGGGCACAGTACAGACTGATCTATAAGGCTAGCAACATCGCAGTGAAGGGGCCCTCTGCCGAGGAATTCAGCCTGGAAAACAGCTGCATGAGCAGGCGCTGAGGAGCTGCCAGGAAGGCAAGCCCAGTGCTCGTCGCTGCCGTGCGACGCGGCAGCGGCGGCCGCGGCCGCCTGCCGCTCGCCTGCGGCGTGAAGGTGACGCGTATGTTGGCGCGCGCCCCGGGCTCAAGGACGCCCTCGGCCGGCTCGGCCGCAAAGAAGGGCCAGTCGCGCAGCTTTGGCGAGTCTACTGCCGGCCGCTTGATGCTCCATTCCGCAGGGACCTGGTTGGGGTTCTGCAGCTGCACGGTATACACCTGGGACGGGGGCCAACAAGTGGGGCAGAGTGCAGGGTTCAGCGGCACGGTCCTTCAGGCCGGGGTCCATCTGTCAGGGCGCGGCTACGTGCGCACGAGCCTGCAGTGCGGGTGCAATCGTGGCATCAGCAATCTTGTCAGCATGCGCTGCATGCATACAACGAACGTATCTGCACCTGGCCCCCTTACCTTGCAGTGCGTGTTGCAAACGGTCCCAAAGTCCAGTGCGGTAGCGCTGGCGACCACGTCCGGCACGACCACGTGCGCCCGCAGCGTCAGCAGCACCGCGGGGCTGTCCGCGCAGCCGCCGCGGATGGCGAGCGGCAGCGTGACCTCCGTTGGGCCGGGTTGGACGTGGCCCTTGGCGCTGAGCAGCGTGAACGTGAGTTCTTGAGACTGCAGTGGCGGGAAGGGGGTAGAGCGGTGGATAGGTGGCGGCAAGGCCCCGCTGGGGCTGGCAGATGTCTTGGACAGGTTGGCTAAACACCGAATGGCTGACTAGTGCAGTGAATGGAACGGAGCGCTGTGTGCGGTAACACTGCCACACGAATCAGACGTACAGCACAAAGAACCTAAACCCAGCCACAATTTCATCTGACGGCAGGTCGACGGCGCTTCCGCTCTTGTGCCCTTGACACCCCTCTCACCTCACACTCTGGCGCCCCGGCCAGCTTGACATTTGCCTCTGGCGTCATGCCAAAGCCAAAGGCCTCCAGCACGGGCTTGTCCACAGTGAACTGAACCTGCGGATTGGGGCGGGGCCATCCGGGAGCCGTGGTTTCGAGGCGCGTCGCATCTCAAGTGGATGCAGGCAGCAAGGACGCTGCCGCTACATGCATGCATGAAGGCAGCCCCCGCCATCTGCTTTTGATTCTCCCGCCGATGTCATCCCTGCCATTTTCAGCTCAACACGGGAGTGAGCGCCCTCGCCGCCGGCGCACCTGCTGCATGCTCGTATTGGTGAACTTGACCTTGCGGCTCTTGTTCACGCCCTTGGTCGCGAAACCAAAGTCCAGCACGTAGTGCGCAGACGCAAGCTCCGGGAGCTTGGGTGCGGGCGGCGCCCGCCGCGCCGCTGCGCTCGCCGCAGTGCGCCCACCCCTGGTGACGGCCGTCCCCACCGTGCCAGCGGACGGCTGCGCCCCGAGCGTCGCCGCCGACGGCGCCGCCTGCAGTGGCGGCGGCGCCAGCGCGGCCACGGCGGCCGCGTTGGCCGCCCGGGCGGACGCGACGGCCGTGGACAGCTCGGCTGCGGCGGAGGCGGCGGTCGCCGGGTCGAGCAGCATGTGCATTAGCCGCGCCCGCTCCGCCTCCAGATCCAGTCGCCTCTCCGGGGTGAGACTCGCCGCCAGCTGCAGCAGCCGGTCGCGCGCAGCCATCGCGCCCGCCGACACGGCGCTGGCCGCCTTGCTGCGCGCAGACGCGGCGCCGCCCGACGCGCCGCTCACTTGCGAGCGCGCGACAACGCTGCCCGCGACGGACCCGGCCCCCACCGCGGAGCCGACGGCGCTCGCGGCGCGCGGCGCGACGCCCCGCTGCGCCGCGCTGCCGACGCTCGGGGCCCGGCCGGTGGCGCCGCTGGACGGCCGCGCGGCGCCGCCGTCTTGGCGACGCGCGGAGGCGCTGCGGGGTACCGCGGGGCCGACAGACTGGAGCGTCGTCGCTCGTGGGCCCTCGTCAGACCTGGATTTTGAGGAGCATGCATAGCCTCGACTTTGACTAGGTCAATTAGCGCTGCCGGTTGCTCGATCGTGAATTTGCGTTGCTTGATCTCAAGGAGGCACACGGCTATCTTAGCACAACGCTCCCCGGCCGGCCCTCGCCCTGCCGGTGACACGCATCTGGCAAATTGACGTGTGGCGACAGCAGCCGGCAGCGGCCAACGCCCCGCCCCCGCCCCCCTCCCCTCCCCTGCCCACCTGTCGCGTGCCTCCTCCGCACAGGCGGCGAACAGCGCGTCCTTCACGCGTGGCAGGTTGAGGGTGATGCAGGGGTAGGTGCCCTCGACCAGCACCTGCACCTGCACCGGCTCGAAATGGGCAACCTGCGCGCAGGACAGACCACGCGGGCAAAGGGAGAAGTGAAATAAAAGGCGACGATTGAGCAGGCGCTGCCAGGAATATTTTCCAACGAGTCTCAGGGTGGCCACGGCGGGCGTCAGCTGGACGCCAGCAAGCACAGCGCCCAACGCACAGGGAGGTCCAGGGGTGAGAATGGGCAGGGTGGCTGCTGAATGCTGCTGGCAGCAGTCAGCAGACGGGATGGAAGACTTGACATTCTTTTGTGGGCAGCTGCTCAAGCAGCGGTCGTACCTGCACCAGCACAAGCTCCATCAGCCTGTCAGGGACGCCCGGCTTGACCTGGTGGGTTTGGTGTCGCGGAATCGCTGATGTCAGCGCACGCAGCATTGCTCCCAGGGGCGGTGGATCACCAGCAGTCCGCACGGATCACAGCGTGCGCACCCGCCAAAAAGCTCTCAACGCACCCAGGATCAAATGCACCTGCAACCCTTGCAGCCCGCAACCGCCACAGGGCCTGTCAATCGGGGGCTGCCCCACCTTGAGCTTGATGTGGGCCTTCTCGCCTGCTGCCACCCTGCCGGCTGCGGGGCTGGCCTGCACCACGCCAGCACGCGTCAGCTGGCTGAGGTCAACGGTGAAGTCAAAGGCCACCTTGCCTGCAAAACCGCAAAGAAGAAGGGTGGTAGATCAGAGAGTGCGCAGGGTATCTAGCCAAGTCGCCAGGACGAACCGTGGCCGCAACTTGGAGTTGAGCTGTCCTGGGAACATTCCCCGGCATGCAGGCGACAGCAGTTTTCAGCTGCTGTCCCAATCTGAAGCTGCGGGCGGGCCTGACAAGCTGTATGCCCAGAAAGATGCCTGCACCACGGCAAGCTTAGGGACGCATGCATGGGCTGCGCATGGACCAATTCCTGCCTGGAGACATTGCTCTTGCCTACAGCCGCCCACCTGTGTTTGCAATGTGCAGGTCCCGCTCCACTGGCCTGTCATAGGGCGTGAGCCCAAGGTCAAAGAATTGAGGCTCCACCGCAAACTTGATGCTGCTGGACTCGCCAATCAAGGACAGCTGAGTGGTGAAGGGATGGGTTACTTGCTAGTTAGGGGATCACCGGCAGCAGCAGCAGCAGCAGCTGCACCAAAGGTGTGTTGTTGCGCTTTGACTGCTGTGTGATTTTCAACGCGTGTGCATTAGCAGGGGTAATCAACAGAGGCGATCCTGCGACAGCAAACTGCCTACAATGCAGGCAGCGCTCCCAAAGACCCCATACAAAAGTACCGGCCCCACCTGATACTCCGGCCCATCCACCACCCTGCACGCCGCCAGTGCCGTCGCCTTGACGCCCGGCAGCCCGTAAAAGCTGACCTCCACGCTCTCGCTCTCGCCAGGCGCGAGGCGGCCCCTGATCGGCAGCAAGTCGAACAGCGCCCCTGGCAGCGCCGCCACCGAGCTGGCCGCGACCGACCCGGCGAACCGCGCTGAGCCCAGCGCCGTGAGCGGGCCGCGCGCGCCGACCGAGGGCGTCGCCGCGCCGCCAAGCGCTGCGGAGCTGGGCTCGGGGCCGTCGAGGTTGGCGGCTGCGGGGGAGGGGGCAAGGGCGTCCTGGCGCAGCCAGGCCCAGCTGTACTCGACGGCCGCCTTGCCAGGGTTGGTGAGGGTGAGCGTAGCGCGGCGCAGCGTGTCCATCAGGACACAGCCAAAGTCCAGGGCCTGCAGGGGATGGATGAGGGGGTGCATGGTTGAGGTGGTTGCGGGCGCTTGCGCAGCCACAGGCGCGGCTTGTAGAGTTCGGGATTGGGTTGGGGCTGGGGTTGACACTGTCCCCAAAACGTGTCAAACGACCCTGCAATGTCTTGGGTTTCGCATCAGACTGACAGTCACATTGCGGCCCTGACGTTCGGCGACAAGAATCACACCAGCTGGCCAAGCCAGGCGGCGGGGGAAGGGGGGCAGGTTGGGGGCGGGCGACGCACCTGCGCGTCCAACACCAGGTTCGGGAACTCCACCTCCCCTGTCAGCTCGAGGGCATCGGTCTGGGGGTTGTCCGTGAAGCTGACTAGCAGCTTTTGGCGCGCCACGTGGCTGCGCAGGTCGTGCCTGGTTGTTGCACAGCGGCACGAGGTGTTTTGAGTGATCGATTGACAGCAGATTAAGGAGAAGACAAATCATAAATGTGTGGGCTGCAATCAGGCTAATGGCTAGGACGTCATATACAGCTGCTTGTAGTGCACTGAGCATGTGTTGATGCGATCAAAAGGGCAGCAGCTCGTCTGTGATTGCGCTCGCGCCACCTGTAGTCAGGGTCAAAAGACACCACGATGCTGGCGCCCTCTCCCGGCTGCAGCGAGAGCGCCGGCACGTCCACTGAAAACGGTGCCGCCGCTCTCAGCACAAAGGACAGCGGCACCTTGGACACGTTTCTATAGGTGCGAGGGTTGCGGGTTGCGGATTGATAAGAGGGATGTGTGTGACAACATAAACATGTGACGCCATATGCCCGAGCATCCTTCCCTCCTCGTCGCACCGGCCAGACCGCTGGTTGTGACCCACTCCCATGCACGCCGCGGCCGAGTCAACCAGCAAGGCTCACACACCAGCCTGAGGCAGCATTGTGCGCTGAGTCCAACTCGTCGGCCCAACCCCACCTCATGCTGAGCTGCTGCGAAACCACCTCGGGCGCCACGCCCGGAGCATAGACGTAGGAAAATTCCACCGCCCTGCGGCCCCAGTCCAGGAGTGGTGCAGCCACGTCCGCCCGCATGTCCACCTCAAAAATGCGCTTGGCGTTGCGGCCGGCGGTGCCCGTCGCCGGCTGCGCAACGCAGGCCAGGCTCTCGGATACCTGGTGGGTGTGCGAGCAGGAGTGGTTTGACGCAGTGATGACTTGACGCATAATTTTGTTTGGGGGTCATCCAGGGCCTTTCACGCCACTGGTGCATGCACCTGCCTCAAGGGTTGCTGTTCACATGCAGCCAAAGGCAGGCAGTGGGACACGCTTGGATGTGCATGCACGTCTGAGAAACCAGGTGCTACACCTTGCTTTGACCGCACGTGCAGGCAACGTCGCCCCTCGACACCCACCACCCACCTGCCCCGGCTTGGCCGCCAGGCCTGTGATGATGGTGGTAATGGCCTCGCGCGGCCCCAGCACGATGCGGTCCGGCAGCAGGCTGAAGACGGGCGCCTGGTCGGCCGGGACCGCAGACAGTTCAAATTTCTTGCCTGGGGATGCGCACGAGCAAGTTTGGTGCTTGAATGGCGGCTGACGCATCCATGCCGTTGAAGTTGCGCAACATTGGGGTCTGCTGTGATACGATGCAGAAAGTCCTACAGCTGGAAATGACCAGACTGAAGACCACAATCAACTCGCAGAAAGTCCCCGTCCCAGCGCCACACCCCGTGCATCTCACGCACCAGACCCCTTGGACGTCTTCGCAAAAGCCTTGGCCAGCTCGTCCGCACGCGTGTTCATCCACTGCAGGCTGACGCCCCTGCGTCCAAGGTTGCGCACCACAACCTCGCGCACCCACGGCCGCCCGCACAGCTGGTGGCCAAAGTGGAGCGCGCCGCCCGCTAGCTCCTCGCACACGACTGTGCTGCCCACACCCGTCGCGGTCAGCTCGATGGGCGTGTCAGCGCCGTCCGCCACGAGCACGTGGAGCGTGTCCCTGACGGGCGTGGCGTCATCCAGCAGGGCGGTGACGCGGACGGCGACCTCGCAGCCGGGGGCGAGCTCCACCTCTCGAGGTTCCGCCTTGAGTGGGGTCGCGGTTGGGAAAAGGGTTCACGGGCAGCGGCACAGATGGGTTGAAGAGTAAAATGCAGAGCAGCATCTGGCAACACACACACACGCAAGCACACACGAAAAAGAGTCTGTAGAGGCACCAACTCTGCTTAGCAGTGACCGGCCAGCAACGCTCCTAAGTGTCCTTTTCTTTTCATCAAACCACTTGTAAGCCCATCCTCATGCAATTCAGCCCAGCACCTTGGAACAAATCAAGGCAACGACTCACGTCAAACACGGAGTTCGAGCCCTCTATGAATAGCTTGGCGTGCGCCGTGATGACGGTGGGGTTGCGCACCCGCAGCTCCTGCACGTGCGGCTGCAGCACAGCCACTTTATTGAATGCCACAGCCGCCCCCGGCTGCCAAGGGGACGGCTGCACCGCTTCCCCTGGCGAGGGGCCAGTCGAAGCCCCCAGGCCGCGCCCGCGGGCCCGAGGCACGCCCCCGGGAGACGGGGAGGCAGTTCGCGAGGTGGATGCGGCGCTCGCACGGCTGTGGCGGCCGGCGGGTTGGCCTGAAGAGGGCGGGGCGCCGACGCTCACGGCGGAGCTGCTTGCCTCCAGGGCCGGCGCTGCTGCAGCCGGCGCTGACATCCCTGCCCCGTCGCCGCTTAGCCCGCTCGCTTCTCCCGCCACCGCTGCTGGCATTTCTTGGCTGCGACCATCGTCGCCCGCCAAATTTGCCACCACGGGGCCGCCTGCTGCATCGGCGCCGCTGCCGTTTACGAGCGTCGCAGGCGCCGGACTCCCTGCGGGCGCCGCTGCGGCGGCCACATTGACTGCAGCCCTGCAGGCGCCTGCGGGCGGCGCGAACTCGAGCCTGGGCCCAAGGGACCGCGCATTGAGCACGACCTGCAGCGGCTTGACGCGGCTGCCGAGCGTCCGCACCAGCGCCGGCAGCTGCAGCCGCCCCAGGCGGCTGGTGCAGAGCGTGACCGTGACCTGCTGCTCGCCCCTAGGCGGGATCGTGGCGCTGCTGGGCTCGGCCGTGAACGTGGCGACGCACTGGCTGGCCTGGTCCTGTGGGTTTGTATGACCGTTTTCTTGGCGTGTGGCGGCAAGGCCAATCACTGCACGAATGGGTTGGTACAACAGGAAATAGGGCGCCCCCGCCAGTTCAACTTAAGGCCCAGCCCCTGGTGCTCAGCCACGCTGCGATGAGGCACGGACCCTGAGCACCAGGCCGCTCGCCGTGCAGAAGCCCGAGAGGCAACAGCCCCGGCCCCCACCTGCGGCAGGACCTCGAATTTGGCAGGCAGCCGGCTCTCGTTGACGAGCGTGAAGCACGCGCGGTAGGGGTGCCCAAGGTACGCCTGCCCAAAGTCCAGCTGCCCGTCCGCCGGGCGCGCGGACAGGATCGGCACCGCGCACTCGGCGGCGACGGGCACCGACGCGGCGGCGTCCGCGACGCCGGGCTGGTCCATGATCAGCTGCAGAGAGTAGCGCTGGACGGACTGTCGATGTGGCAACGGTAGACCAAAATATAATGCCGGTGGTGCATGCAAAGGGTTGTGAGCGTAGAACGGATTTATTGCAAGGGGTGTGCATATGTGTCACAAGCCCACAAGAGGGGGCCGGATGCCTTGCGGGTGCTAGGTGCAGGTAGAACGTGCCCTTTGCACCAGCCCCCAACTTCGCTGCGCCCCCTGTGATTTTCTCCACTTTGAACCCTTCTGCATCCGCCGTGCCCTTGCGGTACCCCTGAAACCCCGCCCGGTCACCTGTGGCATGAACTCAACCTGCACCCGCTGGGTCCCGTTTGGCAGCACCGTGCCGCGCGCCGGCATCACGGCAAACTCCTTGGATGCCGCCCCCTGGCCGCCGGCGCCGCCGCCTGAGCCGCCGGGCGCGCCGTCCACGAGGCGCCAGGCGTAGGCCAGGGGTATGGCGCTGGTGTTGGTCAGCACCAGGTCCCTCACGCACCTGAGGGCTCGCGGTATGGCGGGGCGGAACGGGGTACTTGCAAGGCTGAGCGCTTGTGGCAACGTGTGTCACATATTTTGCAGGCGCCGCCGTCCACAAGCATCGCCCCAACTGGCGGCGTCAGAACTTTGACGGCGCCGCAATCAGCCGCCGACAAGTCGGTCCACTCTGCCATCTGCCATCTGCCAACTCTGCAACAGCGACTGCCAGGCCAGCAGGCCGCCCCGACGCCTGTGCGCAGCTGGTTGCTCACAAATCGCCGGAAGCTGTTGCCAACTGCACCAGGCCAAAAGGCCTTTCATGCCTGCAAATTCAGACTGCTGCTGCCTGCTGCCAACAGCAGCCCGCAAGGCAGCCACCGCTTCCCCCAGCTGCTTGCAGCACGCCAATCCAAGCATGCCTCTCACCTGAAACCAAAGGACACGATCCCAAAGTCCACCTCGCGCGGCCCCAGCTCGAAGGTTGGCCCTATCACGCGCCCCCTGATCACCAGCGGCACCGCGGCGTCGCTGCCCGCCAGCCGCCACTGGAAGGCCTCCTCAAAGGCGCCCAGTGCGTCGCTCGCCAGGCGCACGCGGATGAGCGCCGCGCCGCCCGGGGGTATACTGCCGGCCTCGGGGTCAAACGAGAATTTTGAGCCAAACCTACAAGAGGGATCAGGGCGCCCGCCTCGTTTGGTTTGGTCGCGGCCCACCTGGGGACGCACCGTCTCGCTGCCGGGCATCCTGCCCGCAAGTGCTCGGCCTCGCACTACTGCACGCGCCTGAGAGCAGGCGTCCACCTTGCAATGCCGCCTGCAGCGCCCGCCGGCGCGCGGCGCGCTGCGACCCCCACCCTCCCGTGCCATCACCACAGCCCCCGACCGCCCCCTGCCTCGCATCAGCCCTTCAGCGATTTGGCCTCACCTGGTGTGCGACGGCGTCAGCCGGAACTCGGCGTCCACGCGGCCCCTATTCATCAAGTTGACCTCGTACTCGTGCAGCGTGTTCACAAAGGCGTCGCCCACGTCGAGCGAATCGTACGAGAAGCACGCCACCGCCCCCAGCCCGCGGCCGCGCAGCCGCAGCGGCAGCCGTGCCGCGCGGCCGTCCAGCTCGACGTAGGCAGCCGCGTCGAAGCTTCTCGCGTAGTCGGGGGAGAACTGGAGGACCACCTCCATCCGGCCGCCCGGCGGGACGGAGCCGGCAGGCGGGAACGCGGCAAAGTGGGGGCTGGAGAACAGCGCGGCGTCCGCCTCGGCGGCGCGGCGCTGCCGCTTGGCGTCGCGCGCCGCCGCGAGCGACGCGTCGGCGATCACGCTGTCGCCGGCGCCGCTGGAGCCGGTCGCGGCGGACGGGGCCGCGCTCGGCTCGGCAAGCAAGGCGCCGCCGCTCGCGTCGCGCGCGCCGCCGCCGCCGTCGGCGTCGGGCTCCGAGTCGACCCGAGCGTCCCCGCATTCAAGGCTGCTGCTGCGATGCGGCGCGTCGTGCGCTGCCCGGGCTGCCGGCGCGTCCTCTTTGGCCTCACGCCGCAGCGAACGAGAGTGGTCGTGCCCAGCCCCAGCGCCGCCGCCGCCGCCTCCGATGCCTGCCAACGCCACACGCGCCGCCTCCCAGTCGTCCGCCTCGTTCGGCCGCTGCTTGAACGCGAACGCCGCCGGCCGGTCGCCGCCGTTGACCACCCACACGCTCTTCTGACTCAGCCGCCCCATGTAGGTCGGCAGGAACTCCACCTCTGACGTGGACAACCCCACGTCCAGCTCCCGCCCCTCGCCGCGCAGCCGCGTGTAGGTGGCGCGCCCGCCGCCGTCGTAGAGCACCTCCAGCTCGCCCTCCCACGCGCCCGCGGCCGGCGGGCAGAACGCGACCGCGATTTGCAGCGTCTCCCCCGGCGCGAGGAAGCCGCGCGCGGGCGACACCGAGAACGGGCCGCTGGCGGCCAGCGCGAAGCCGCCGGGCGCGCCGCCGGCGTTGCGGACGAGGAGGGCCTGCCGCGCGGCCGCGCGGACGGGCGGCGCCTCGCGGAAGCGGATCTCGTCTGGAAGATCAAGCGCAGGTGCGGCGCCCGCGCCGACAAGCGGCACCAGGAACCGCTCGCGCTCCGTCGCGACGACGAGCGCGTGGGCCGCGTCGCCGGGGCCCTGGGGGCGGAAGGTGACGACGAAAACGACCTCCATACCCGGGGCCACCTTGCCACCGTCGTCCCGCCCGTCCGCGGCGTCGGCGAAGCCGCCGGCGCCGGCGCCTTGCACCCTGGTGTCGCGCCGGACGCTGAAGAGCGCGGAGTCTGGCGCCTCGACGCGCACACGGCGCGCGACCTGTCCGTGCCGCGACGAGGACAGGGGCAGGCGCGCTCTTTGCGCAGCTCCCCATGCTTCATTCGCCTTTGCACCCATATCATGGGCTCGAACGACACCTGATGATGGCTCCAGGCCGCTCGTGCTGATGTAAGCGCTACGGCATACACGCACCGCTGCCCTGCCAGTCCGGCTGCTGCAGGACCCCGCGCCAACCCAGCGGTTCCGCCCCCAACCTTGTCATTGTTGCGCAGTGAGAGTGTGGCGGTGTAGGTTTCAAAGGGCCGGTAGCCCGTGAAAACCACTTCTGGAGGGAACGGCTGGAAAAGCGGCTCGTCGACTGGCACAGCGCTCTGGGCCTGCGCAGCGCGATGGCAGGGAACGGCGAAGCGGTGGGTGCGGGGCAGCCTGCTGTTCCATGCGTGCAGCCCGCCCGCCTGCAGCTGCTGAGGGGCTAAGGCACTGCCAAAGATGACAGGTGACGGTCCCCTGACAATTTCAGGTCTAGGATCCAGGTCGGCTGCTGGTCGGCTGGGCCGGCCCCAAAACCAGGCATCCGTTGCGTTCTGCTGCGCATCCACCTGGTGGGTGTGATCGCCCAAGCTCGACAACCCCACGATTTGAGGCCTCGGGCGCCAGCCGTCCGCATGGCGCGCCGGACGCGTCAGGCTCTGGATCAGCTGGCTCGGGGTCCACTGCGGTGGGGGCGGAACGCACGCATGGCGTTGGCTGCGCTGGGGAGTGCCGCATGCGGCCCCTTTGCAGGGTGCGCACATGCGCTTGGCATTAGCTTGACTGGCAAGGCCCAACAGGGGCGTCATCACGAATGTCTGCGCACTTTGGCGCTGATGAGGGGGTCTTCTTCCTTGCTGTAGGTCTTGTACTTGACCGCGCCCTTGCCAGGGCTATCAGGCTGCCGCTTGCGCGACGCCGCTGCCCCGAGCCGGCTTTGGGTGCCGCCGGGCTCCGTCATGCCCAGGTCGGCCCCTGCGCCGCTGATTTCAGCACCAATTGATCACTGACATGCCGCAGAGCCTTTCCTAAGGAGATAGAGATCCACTGTGAGATTCAGCACAGTGATCTTCGGACCAGATTGCCCATGCGGCAGAACGATACATGAAAATCAATCATCTCAATCAACTGCTTTGCATATGCTCCGCAAGGCCTCATGACTCACCGTCTCAGTCAACCCCTCGGGACCGCGCGTCCGCGCCAGCCAGATCGGAACAGCAGGCAGTGTCAGCTTTAACCAGACCGATTTTGAACACCGCGTCTATTCATACATTTATTACATGCGTGATACGCCTTGGGCGCTGCGCAGCACTCGACAGCCCGCCGCCATCCCTCATCCCCCTCCCCTGCCCAGCTGAGCTTTGCCATCCTGGAGCCCATCAGTTGGCATGCTGTCGGGTGTGTGTTGCTAGCCAGTCGTACATATGCTATCCGTACTCCCCGTAGCTGTTCGGCACGCCAGGCAAGTCATAAAACTGTACTGTACTTTACGCGTGTCACCACATGTCTGATGAGAATGCCCGTCGTGCAGATGCGAAATGCGTGCCCGAGCCGTGGCTTGCGTGCTGCGCCACACTACCAGAGGGTTGCGGGCATTTATAAGATAGGCATGCAATGCAAAACCAAATTCTGGCAGGAGGAAGACAGCAAGGGGGCGCAGCAAGCTAGATGCGCGGTCCTTGGAATGCGTGGACCAAGCCACTCATCTCAAGCATAACTGCGTGCGGGAAAAAGCGCATGACTTGATGTTGGATTGCAAAAGAATATTAAGGGGCGCAGGGCCACGAGCGTCATGCTGCGTATCATGTGGGGGGTGTATGGCAAGTGCCGTGACTGCCAAGTCTCTGGGGAAAATGCCGTGCTGCGGGTGGAAAATCGCGCGAAGCGTCTTCCCAGCAGTGCGCATGCAGGCAGTAATGATTAGGATGGTAAGGCATTAAAATAATGTGGCTTGGCCCATCAAAGAGACGGGGCATCTGCGGTGTGTCATCCATGACACGAGTCGCAGTCAAGTGTGTGCAACAAATATGCTTCGCACAGCGAGGGCTGCCCACAATACATGCCATCATGATCGCGCAGCAAAAGGCACCCACGGTGGATACCGCAACCAGGAATGGCAGGCCAGAGTTGCTGCAGAATCAATGCCCAATTGTACGCCCTTGCGTGACGGCATTCGCCAGCAGCAGCACTACCAGTAACCTGCCCAGATCAAAGGTCCATAGTAGTGCCGTGCCGCCTTGCTTCCAAACGTGCTGTCCTTTCGGCCCCACCTGAATTTTTTATCTGCCTTATTCTTTGCAGCAGCCGACTGCACTACCTTCAACGCATTTGCGGCGCCGGCGCCCAGCCGGCAGTCGCCGGCTGCAAAGCAGCGGCCCGCTACCCCAGCAACATGGGGGCTTGCAAAGCTGGTGCCACTCTTTGACGCAACGGCGGAACCGACAGTTGTCGACAGGATGTCAGTGCCTGGGGCTGTCACGGTCCGCTTCAAGTCGAGCTTGCTTGCCTTGGGCGACAGCCTAGGAGGTTGTGTGAGGGTGGGTTCACTTGGGTTATACGCTTCTCTGGAACTGGACTGACATCGATCATGTGCGCGTATGTGATGGGCCACATGTCGTATACGTGTCTTGGCATTGCAACATGGTGAGGCTGGCACATGCATGCAGACACAGAACTGGCCGTGCGCATGCACACACATGCACACATGCGTGCGTGCGCTTGTGCAGTGTTTGCTAAGCACAAGCGCCTGCTGGCCTAGCAACCCTGTTTATGCCTGGCCCTCCCTGAACAACATACCCACCAGTTGCTGAACGACGCAGGCTTAACTGCGCCGCTGGGAGACCCTGACACAGTGTCCAGCGCCGTCACCGCAATCGCCGCCCCACAGTTGCCTGGAAGGGTGTCGCTCATTTCGACGCCACCGTTGCCAGCTGCAGCCACTACAACCATCCCCTTGTCCACCGCCGCTTGTATCGCATCACATAGAAGTTGATCTTTGCCCTTGCCGGTGAGCGAAAGGTTGACGACTGTTATGTTCAGGCTTACGCCGTTCTGCACCACCCACAGCATGCCACCCACAGTGGAGAGCGAGTCGCCGCGGCCGAGGTCTGACAGCACCTTGCCCGCAAACAGCGGCGCGCCCGGCAGGACGCCCCAGACGCCCATGCCGTTGTTGCGCGCGCCGATGATGCCCGCGACTGGCGTGCCGTGGACGAATTGGTCCGTCCAGTCATTCGGGTCGCTGGCGTCTGGTGCAAAGTTCCTGCCGCCAATGACGTTGAGGTCTGGGTGCGGGGATATACCGGAGTCCAGCACCTGTCCAACCGGCGGGTTGCACAGACAGGGGGGTGGGCGCTGGAACGCTGTAGCGGGGGGCAGGGAGCGCCCCAGGATATGTGCGCAATGGGAAGGGGCGCACACACCTGATGCCCACCCTCGTCCCATCTGCACCCTCATGTTAGAATTTGTTTTCGGTCCTTCCGCAGCGTGCCTGCCGCCCATGCCCATTTGTTGCCCCGCAGCACTCACCGCAATCGTGATGCCGGAGGCCGCTGCGTCCACCGGAACAGACCCTGGAGGCCCAGGGCTGCCGTCGGAGCTCTGGATGCGGCCCATCCCGTTGAGGTCGGCTTCCCCCACTTTCAGGGGCTCGCGGGCAACACGTGGCACGCAGTTCCCGTAGCCGGGCTGGCACCCAACTGTGCAGTGCTCGAGGGTGCTTCCGCACCTGGAGGGGTGGTGCGGGCAGGATTGTTGCATGTGTGTGTGCTCAACATGGGGAGGGGGGCACGATGCGGCTTCAGGTCGTGGCATACAGCACGGGTGCAGCCAAAACAGGGGCAGGTGCAAGGAGGATGGCAGGGGCCGCACCTGTTCTTGTTGCTGCAGCACTGGCTGAAGCTGCACATGGCCTTGGCCGCAGCACCGCAGATGCCATTACGCTTGGCCACCTTCAGGGGCACCACCTGGGCCACTCGTCGTCCGTGATTCGTGCCATACGCCTGGAGTGCAGGATCAAAAGAGCCATGCGCCGACGCAGCTCGATGCTCAAAGACTGGTTGCACGTACTTGACACCTTTAAGGCCTAAAAGGCTTTCCTGGATTGCGGCCATGGCGTAAGGATCCTCTCCAACCAGGCCAATCACCCTGACCAGGCTGGCGGGTATCAAGGACGCCACGCCACCGCTTCCAGCACGCGAGGCGGCCACGACACCACTGCTGCGCGCATTGAGGACATCGGCCAAGGAGTTGACTTCGATGCGCGGCGCAGGGGGCGGCAGCCCCGCAGCGCCTGCATCTCCATTGACGTTCGCCGCTGCAGGCTCTGCCTTGGCGAAGGATGCGGCGGCCGCGGCTGTTGCGGCGGCGAAGGCGCGTGCGCTAGCACTGCTGACGTCAACTACTGACTCGTCCCAGACAATGATCAGCTGTCCCGCAATTGTGGCAGGCTCTGGGTCAGCTGATAAGGCTGCCTGGGCCGCCGCTACAGCCAGGGCCAGGACCAACAGGCGCACGGCATTCATGGCTGCAAAGCGGCAGCGCCGTGAGGGCTGTCGCGCCATGGTCCACCGCCGCTGTGGCTGGTTGAGCCCAGCCGCAACCACAGCTGCTTAACGTGCCTTGTGGGGAATCAGCATGCACAGATGGCTGCGGTCAGTGGAAGACGTCCAATTGATTGGCAATATATCGGCGATGCGGTGGGGCACGGGTTGGATCAAAGCACAAGCAAGTGCCAGCAAGCGCCGAAGCATGCTCTTGTGCGCCGCTTGCAAACTGCGCACCGCTGGCGCACCTTTCGCTTCCAGGGCAGCACCAACAACTTTGATACGCTCTAAAATTTGCGGGGTTGCACAACGGACACCCGAAACGGTGTTGCTGAAGGCCGGCCCAGGCGTGGCTGGTTGCGGTGGCCGGCGCAAGCTGGCCTGCTGGCAAGCACGAGCTGCCCTGCAAGAAATTACGGTAAATTTGTACTTGTGAAGCCTCTCAACAGCCTGTCGACACTTTACAGACGGAACTGGACCTGAACGTTGCAGGGTTCCAGGCAACCTACACAGCCAACGAAGAGGACGGTGAGACTGGGAAATAAAACGACTACTTGAACTCTAGCGTCACAATCACTGGCGGATCTCATCTTGGTCCTTGAAGGGCCGCGGTGACACACCTTGGTCACCCGCGACGTGGACAGGCGGGGGCAGATATGTTGTTAATACAAACTCTCACATTCTTATGCTGTCTGATCCAGCAGGTCTGCCGCCGCTCTCGACGACTGTGGAATGAGGGAGCAGCGTCATTCGGCAGGCGCGATTGAATTGGCCGTTGACAACCATCAATTATATTTCCGGCGCCCTTGCAGTGTCAGAGCTCGTCAAGAGCTGCAAGAAACTCCACTCCGACAGGTGCTCAGGGGGCCCACAGCACCCCATGCTTTGCTCCAGGTGCCAATCAGCCAATCAGCCAAGTGTAAGCACAGCATCAGAGTCAAATGCGCGTTCTTGGAAAGGTGTCCATCGCATCTGTGTGGCAAGGCCCGTCAAATGCATGCAGTCTTACAAAACATGACACCACTATATACAGTACACAGGAGTTTAGGATCCAGATTGTCCAGACAGTGGAGGCAGCATACCCTGCTTGTGCGGAGGGTGTGGCGCAGTGCAGTGAGCACACATTGAAATCACACAGAGCACAAAGAAACAACAGGTCCCATCAACACAGGGAAACCGTCAGCCTGGGGCACCGTCATATGCACGGTCGCCACCAGAAAGAAGTACGAGGGGGGGGATGCACCAGTGATTGCAAGTGCGCCGTAGACCCAACAGCGCGATGCCTGCCACATGAGGATGTGTGGTAAATGCCTGCCCGTGTACAAACGAAAGCGTTTGTGAGATATGAGCACCTGCTTTATGAGGGTTCATATTCTGGATGGAGAGGATAATGTATTAAGCAAGATATCAAACAGGGGCATCTGGGGCAAGGAGCTGGGCCTCACCAAACTTGGCCTTTGTTCATGCCACGTGCAGCGGCGGCCTAGGGCACAAAATCCCAAAAGCAAACACAAAAGAGCGCCCCGTTCAGGAAGTGCAAGTAGGCCGCAGACATCGCTGCAAAACAGGGACCAAATAATTCCATGCTGGCGCTGCTTAGCTGGCCACGCCGCGGCATTGCGTCACCAGTAGTCTGCCCAGATCAGCGGCCCGTAGTACCGCCGAGATGCCCCCGTGCCGACTGTGTTGTCCAAACTGCCCCACCTGAAGACTCTATCCGCCTTGTGCCGGGCAACAGCTGACTGCACGATCTTGACTGCGTTGGCGGCGCCATTGCTGAGACGGCAATCGCCAGCGGCGAAGCAGCGGCCCGCAACGCCAGCCACGTGCGGACTGGAAAAGCTCGTACCCGACTTCGACACAAAAGCGGCGCCAACAGTCGTCGACTCAATACTAGTGCCGGGAGCAGTGACGATCCGATTCAAGTCGAGGGGGCTTGCCTGAAGGGGGAGCCTAGAAGATTCAAAAGGGTGGGATCATGCAAGTTGTTGAGTGGACCCTCCAAGGTTGGCGTGACCTAGGATAGCAGTCACGTGCTCCTGTGCCAACTCGGTGTGGAGGGGTGTGCTGCAGGTGCAGGCCCAAAACAATCCTTGAGCAGCTCACGACACCTGTGTGCAGGGCACGCTCTTGTATTGCACCTCAGAACAAAGTACAGCCCAGCCGTCGTGTGCATGTACGCGAGTCTGCGCATGCATGTGTACGCTGTTGGAGATGCAGTAGCTCGCCCATGAGCAACTTTTGCCTTGAGCCCGTACTCACCAGTTGCTGTATGACGCAGGCTTGCCTCCACCGGTCGGCGACCCTTGAACCAGGTCCAGTGCCGTCACCGCAATCACCGCCGCACAGTTGGCCGGGAGTGACGAGCTCATGTTGACGCCGGAGTTGCCGGCCGCGGCCACCACAACCATGCCGCTGTCCACCGCCGCCTGAATTGCGTCGCAGAGGAAAGGGTCGCGCCCGATACCGCCCAATGAAAGGTTAATGACAGAGACCTTCATGCCCGCGCCGTTCTGGACCAACCACCGCACTGCGTTCGAGATGCTGAGCGTGGTGCCGGCCCCCTGATCCGACAGCACCTTCGCCGAGAACAGCGGCACGCCCGGCAGGACGCCCCAAACGCCCATGCCGTTGTTGCGCGCGCCGATGATGCCCGCGACCAGCGTGCCGTGGGCGTAGCGGTCCGTCCAGTCGTCGGGGTTGTTGCTGTTGTTAACAAAGCTCCTGCCGCCAATTACGTTGAGGTCTGGGTGCGGCGCGATGCCCGTGTCCAGCACCTGTTCAGCCAATGGGGTTTGTTAGGAACTTTGGGCGGGGCACGGAGGAAGGTCGGTTCTAGGACGAGCAAGAGCGGAAACAAGCGCAGACACAGCCGAACGCACGATTGCGCTGCGGACCCTCACCGCAATGGTGACGCCAGCGTCTGCGGCGTCCACAGGGACAGACGCAGGGGGCCCCGCCCTGCCTGTGGTGCTCTGGATGCGGCCCATCCCGTTCAGCGTGGCCTCCCCAACTTTCAGCGGCTCGCGGGCAAGGCGCGGCACGCAGCGCCCGTAGCTGGATCGGCACCCAACTGTGCAGTGCAGAGGGGTGTCGCCGCACCTGGGTCGTCGTGCGGGGAGTGGTGTAGCAAAAACGGATTGGGGACTAAAGCTGTGTTCTAGAACGTCAGGAAAAGGTAGCGTGGCATATGTGCGCAAGCGAGCACATGGCGGCGGGCGTCAACACGACGGCACGGGCCGTACCTTCCCTTGCTGCTGCAACACTGGCTGAACCCGCACACAGCCTTGGCGGCAGCGCCGCACAAGCCATTGCGCCTCGCCACCGTCAGCGGCGCCGTCTGGGCCAGTCGGCGGGTACGGCTGGCGCTGGACGGCGGACGCGGGGGCCCGAGGGCACCAGGCGCTGACAGAGCGCGGTATTCAACAACCGGCTGCACGTACTTGACGCCAGACAGGCCCGAAAGGCGCTCTTTGACTGCGGCCATGGCGTAGGGATCCTCTCCAACCAGCCCGGTCACTCTGACCAAGCTGGCGCGGATCGAGGGCGCTGCGCTGCCGCTGCGTCTAGCCGCGGGTGCAGCCGCAGCCGCTGCAGTGCCACCGCCGCCACCGATACTGCCGCTGCCGCCAGGGAGCATGTCGGCCAATAACTCGACATCGATGCGCGGCGCAGGGGATGGCGACCCCGCAGCACCCCCATCTCGGCTGACGCGCGCCGCTGCAACCGCGGTCTTGGTGAGGGAGGCGGTGGCCGCGGCTGTTGCGGCGTCACGGGCGCGTTCGCCGGCGCTGATGACGTCACCGACCCGATCGTCCCAGACGATAATTAGCTGTCCCGCAACTGTGGTGGGCTCTGGATCAGCTGACCAAGCTCTCCGGGCTGCTGTTGCAGCCAGGGCCAGGAGTAACAGGCGCGCTGCATGCACGGCAGCAGGGCCGCGGCGCCGTGACGTCCGCCGCGCCATGGCCCGCCGCGGCTGTGGCTGAGCCCAGCCACGGCAGCCCGCCTACCTGAGCTGCTGTGGCGGGATGGGATGCGTACAGAGAGCTTTTGTAAGGGAGTGCATGCCCAATCACCCGCATACCCACCGACGGCGAGCCAGGGAATGAAAGATCTGGGCCTGGCGACGGGTTCACACCCTGCTGCGTTCGACCGAGCGCGGCTGTGCACAGCACACCGCCGGCTTACCTCCCACTCTAAGGTAGATATCAGCGCTTCTTACTATGGACCAAACTCCGCGGTGTTGCAACGGCAGGATGCTGCGTGACGAGGTGGCCGGCGCAACCCGGCCAGGTGCACGCAAACACCAGCTGCTCTTGAAGAATATCAAGTTAAGCTCATAGCAGGTCGCTCGTCCACGAATTGTGTGCTGACGGAGCGTTCTGGTGGGTGGGGGCCAGCCAGTGGCTATGCTGTGGGTGCCAGCAAAGCGTGGGCGACAACGGGCGGGGTGAACATGCGAGTTTTCAGCAGTTCGACTATTTTTCCTGAGATGGAGCTGGAAAGGACCACGTTGGGCCGTGGCAGTGACAAAAAACCGCGATGAAGTGACTCGGGTACCGAGGGGTACAATGATTACGCGTACACAGCACAAATCGTATGTGCCCGTCAATCAATCTTCAAATGGTTTAGTGGGCTGGTCGACAGAGTTCTGCGGTTGCCTTGTAGCAAAAACACGGCGTAAAGTGGCCGCAATGGTTTTTCACGGTCATAAGCGAGCAGAACAGCTGCTGATGCTCTTGTGTGCCGCCCTTAGCTCGTGCGCTACTCCGGCCATCGCAGGCGCAAATGCCACATCCCGCAGGTGTGCAGCGCTGGCCTTTGAGGGGGCAGACGAGGTGCATGTCGACCAAGCTTCTGGCAGTGGCATATTGTGTACACAGGCACTGCGTACAGCTGCGCAACGGTGTTACGCGCCGCACGCACACCATGAACTGCCGACACCACGCCAACCAACCCCTTGCATTTGGGGCGCTCCACACGGCGCCCCAGCTGCATCCTGGCTGAGTGCATGTCACCCCTAGGCGGCGGCAACATAACGGAGGCCATCAGGAAAGGGTGCGCAGCTTGCAGGGGCCACGGGAGCCTGCAGTGCTCGGGGTTGAATCGCCGGCAAAGGGCCAAGGCATCCCAGGCAGTGCGCCCCGCCCTCACTAGGCCAGCTGCGCACGCCTGCAACAGCGCGCCCGCCTGCTGCGCCCCCGAGCGCCCCCAGGTCGGGCGACTTCCCCAGCACCCCTGTCGAGGGCTGCGGGTCCCAGCTGCTCGCGTACCTCAACAGTGGTGCCTACATGCGCGGCGTCGAGCTCGCGGCCAGGGACGCCCTCGCGGCGATGGGCCTGCCGCTCAGCCCCCAAACAGCCCAGGCCCAGAAGGCGGCGCGTCAGAGGCAGATGGTCGTCTTCGACATCGATGAGACCGTGCTGTCAAACGTGCTGCGCGACCCCGCCGCGTTCACCAAGGGGCGCCGGCTTATGGGCGCCGCCGACCTGGCGGCGCTCAGGGACGCTGCGGCGGCGGCGGCGCCGCCGGCCGCGACGCCGGCGCTGAAGCCCGTGCTGGGGCTGTACCAGGTGCGGCCGGTGGGGGCGAGGGGCTGTGGCTCCCGATGGTTTTGGGGCATACCCCTGCTGGCAAGAGGGGGTGGCACGCGGGCACGCTGCGAGGGCGCGTGTTTGGACCCTCGAGCGGGGAGGTCGGGCGTTGCCGCGGCCGGCCGAGCGCCGTCGATTGCACATTGAAGGACAGCAGGGGCCGGGCCTGCGGGTGGTTGCAGCTCTTTGTCACGTCTCGCCCTCCTCCCCACCTCGATCCTCCTCCCTTTGCGCCTGCCAGGCCCTGTGCGCCGCGGCACACCCGCTCGTCCTGATCACCGGCCGCCGCGAGCCCCTGCGCGCGCCCACCGCCGCCGCCCTGAAGCTCGCCGGCTACGGCGAGCCGTGCCAGGGCGGCGCCAGGAACGGCGACCCGGGGGTGTGCTGCTATACCTCCCTCCTCATGCGCGGCGCCAACGACAGCCGCCTCGCGTCGGTGGTGAAGCCAGAGGCGCGGAGGGCTGCGCAGGTCAAGTATGGGTTTCATATCTGGGGGTCAGTCGGGGACCAGTTCAGCGATATGAACGGGTTGTATCACCCAGAGGTGGCCATCAAGATTCCCAACCCGTTTTACACGATCCTGTGATCTGTGATCTAGCGGTGGCCATGGTAGAGCGAGGGCGGGCCGCTCAACCTCTCGCTGCCCGTGATTGGACGTTGCAAGGCGCCGCCGAGCGCCCGCATGGGCGCCACACAGTGATGGCGTTCGGATGGCGCTGAGACAGCCGGGCCCGTCTCATGCGTATTCTATTATCTTTGTCATTACCAGCGGCCGAACCTGGGAGGCCTGCCCTTTGCTCTGCTGTCTACCTTCAATTGTCACGAGCTCGTCTGCATTGGTGCGTGTCTCGCGGGGCGTGATGGCGCCTCAGTGTGCTGGATGCGCACTTCAAACCCCTGACGTATTGACTGCTTAGAGCCCGTTTGAACCTGTCACGCATCTCATCACGCATCTCATCACATTCTGCAGCAAAATGACTTGCCATAGTGGTTGTAGCGACGCCACATTATTGACTACAGCGATGGGAATCGTCCGCGCCGCTGTGCGACGCTTCACAGGTGTCCACACATCAAGATCGTGCTGCGTCCGCGCCAGGGCTGTGCTGTGCAGCGTGCGCGCTGCAATTTGCTGTCGCAGCTTTTTATGTTGTAGTGCTGCATGGCTCCCACTGCATGCCTCTCACACAACATGTAGGCTGTGAAGCTGAAGGTCTTCTGCAGGACACGCTGCTGCCACAGCAAAGCAACCGCGCAAAGGCCGTCCTACTCAGTACAGGAGCTTTGATGTGAGGAGCCGCGGGTACCGCTCGCAAACTGTTGTGACCACCACAACAGTACCAGTGACCAGCCTCGGACATCGACGACCTGCCTTAGTCCCCTGCCCTCTTGCAAAGTGCCACATGCACGGGCCATGCAGGAGTTTTGTGCATAAAGCGACATGTGTTACTCTTGCATATGCGCAATCGCGCCAAGTCAGCGGCGCTGAGGCGCCAGGGGAGATGTGGTGATTGGTAGGGGGGGAGGGGGCGAACAGGCGCGCGCAAAGACGCCCATCACAGAGGACGAGCGGCAGCTGCGGCGGCGATGGGGGCCGGCAGTGAAGGCGCGGGACAAGTTGTAAATGCATTGCCGTGTTGAGGGGTGAACCAGCTGTCAAGGCATGTGGGTCGTGCATATGCACGCGCATGTGAATGATTCGGGCGTGCCTGAGGCGGCCGCAGCCGCGTGCGCTGTGCTCCCGCCGCGCCTCGCCTGACGGTTGCGCGGGCAACAGGATGTTGAAAAGCTTCTCCAACAAACAAGCATTGCAGCAAAGTGCGGAAGTCCTCCGCATGGGCATCATGAAGCACAACGCTGCATGCAGGTTGACAGTGTGCACCATGCATCACGGCCCTCAGAAAGGCCCTAACAGGCCTCCAGCCGGCCTTGCTCCCGGGACGAGTTGTGCGGGGCAGCCGAATGAGAAGCGCCGACGCTGTCGCACAAGATCAGCCGCGCTCACGTGCCCCTTGCGTGCGCAGGGTGGACAGTCACGATTCATCGCATGGAGGGCCGAAAACAATTGTTAGTGCAATGGATAGTCTCGGGGTTCACAATCCCCCACGACGCCGTTGTGCCTGGGCCAAGGCTCCGTTGCCTCGTCATACCGACCAACCGCCGGCGATGCACAGGCGGCAACAAGCATTGTCAGGGATGAACGGGCGTCGGCTCGCGCCCTGGCGCCCGCCCGCCCGGCGCACGGAGGCAGGTTGCGCAAGCGGCAGCGCGCTTACATGAGCGGAACACACACACCACACGCATACACTCACACTCGCACTCACACACACACGCACACGCACACGCTTGTCCGCAGCTGGCTGCGCCCGGCACTCATGGGGAAGGTAAAGACATGTCTGGCGGCCACCGTATCCAAAGCCGCCGCCGCAAGAGTGACTTGAGGGTCCAACCCTGGCTCATCGCATTGACATTGGCAGCACGCATACAGCCGGCAAAGGACGCAAGCAATACGCGGTCAAATGCGCCGGCGGCTACAACACTCCCGACGCGGGCTCCCCGTCGGGTGGGCACGGCAGCCGGTGGCTGCTGCGCTCAGGTGATGATCACCAGCCGCAGAATGGGGTCACCGTTGAGGCAGGCGCGGGAACAAGCGGTCCCGCAGGCTGCCCCTGGTGTATGAGTGGTCCAGCTCTGCCAAGAAGCTGTCGTCCTGCGGGATCAACAGGGGTGGTGCATGTGTATGGTGCATGCATACATCCATTCATGCATGCATGCGTGCATGCGTGCATGCGTGCATGCGTGCATGCGTGCATGCGTGCATGCAAGCGAGCGCTGTGGCAAGTGGAAGTGATTGCTTGGCTGGCTGCGCAGCAGGCCTGTTGGCAACGAGGTGCAGGCGGCTTGAATTGGGACAGAAGCCTTGACTGCTGCCCGCCTGGCAAACAGGCCAGAGCCGTGCAGCGGCTTGTGCACGAGCCACCTGTACAGTCGCGATTCAAGCCCGCCAGGCTGGGTTCGACCCCCTTCATGGGTGTTGCAGGACCTTGGGACCCCCTCGGAAGCTTGCCCGCACCTGCCCAATCTCCACCAGGTAGCGTCCGGGTGCTGAGACAAGCCCCGTAGCCGCGCCGCCCTGAGGGCCGCTGCCGCCGCCGGCGCCACGTATGCCTACCCCAGCTGATGGCCACTCCGCCGGCGCCGCGCCAGCCTGCGCACCGCCGCGCCAGCCGTCGCTGCAGGTGCCGTCGCATACGTGCGGGTGGCTTCCCTGCTGAGGCCATGGCGGCGGGGGCGGAAGACCGGGCGGGCGCGGCTGTGGCTGCTGCTGCTGCTGCTGCTGCTGCTGCTGCTGCTGCTGCTGCTGCTGTTGCTGTGGCGGTAGCGGCAGCAGCTTGCGCTGTTCGGTTGGGACAGCACAGGCAGCTGGGAACTGCAAGGTGGTGAGCGACGAGCGGCCATCAGCATCAAAATGGGGCATTCTTTGAGGCGTCAATGCGCGCCGGCGACCACACCTGAAGACCGGCCACCTGTAGCCCAGCAGAGCGGCCCTGCCAGTGGTGAAGCAGCACCCTGTTGCTGCTCAAGCACGCAGCCCACCCACCCTGACTGCAGTGCTGCACCCAGCCCAAGCCCTTGCTCACCTCGTCCGCCCCGCCGGCCGGCACGGGCGGCGCGGCTGCTGCCGACAACGGCAGGCCCGCCTGCGTCAAGCCGGGCAGCGGCCCGCTGTAGCTGGCCAGGCGCTCCGTCCTGCACCCCAGGCGCTCCCTCATTTGGACGAGCTGGGAAAGGGCCTCCTCAAAGGTGGGCCTGATGGTGGGGGGTTTTCAGGGGTGGGTGGTAAGGCAGCGGAAGTCAATCGGATGTTAGGCTCATGTGAGGTGAGGATTTCAAGAAACCCATAAATCCAGGAGGTCGCACGGTCGAGCTGAGGTGCTGGGGTGGAG